ATTGATCCCATACTAAACATTATATTAAATATTGCCCATGGATTATTGCACATTAGTCTTGCAACAACACTGAGGAGGCAGACAAGATTATTATCTATTATAAACGTATGAGGGAAACATGCCACATAGGGAGTGAACTGACTTGAGTCATAGAACATCTGTTTTCTCTTTTAAAATGATTTATTTATTTATTTGAAAGCAAGTTACAGAGAAAGGAAGAAGAAACGGGGAGAGAGAGAGAGAGAGAGAGAGAGAGAGAGATCATCCATCTGCTGTTTTATTCCCTGATGGCCATAATGGCCAGGGCTGGGCCAGGCTGAAGCCAGGAGCCAAAACCTTCGTCCAGATCACTCATGTGGGAGCAGGGGCCCAAGTACTTGGGCCTTCTGCTGCTGCCTTCCCAGGTGCATTAGCAGGGAACTGGATCAGAAGTGGTGCAGCCAGGACTTGAACCAGTGTCCATATGAGATGCCAGTGTTGCAGGCGATGGCTTAACCCACTATACTGCAGTGTCAGCCCAATAGAACATCTGCTTTTGCTATTGCATAAGGTTTCATTTCAGATAGTCCATGAATGCCTTCTGATGTGGGAATAACCCGATTTTTGTGAGTGGGTTTGATTTCTGCAAAGAATCATAATTGGAAGGAATAGAGGGTGGGAGAACAACTTGATAAATGCCATGTTTGGGCCAACAGCAGGTTGCCCACATGGAAGGGGGCTGTTTCTATCATTTGGGTCAGGGGCCAGTTCTCAAGGGGAACCCAGGGGTGTCAACCTCCATGCACTTTGAGATTGTTCCTTGTTCCTAATGGTGTTCAGAGAACACAGTATTTAGAATGGGGAGGGATTTATAGAGTATCTAATTCAATCTCCATGTTAATCCAAACACATCACCCACCTGATGGCAGAATAAGAAATATAGCTCATAGCTCCTAAATGCCACCCCACAGCTCCATTCTGCCCTCAGTGTGGACAGGCTTAGCTTGTGTTCTCCCCAGGTTCCCTCTAGATGTGATCCATGTGCACATAGCATGGGTTAGGGAATAGACATCTCTTTAAAAGCAACACAGACAGGACATTTGATTAATGAGATGTATTGTATACCTAAAATTTTTAGGAGGGCAGATTTTATGTTAAATGCTCTTACCAAAAAAGGAAAATAACAACACAACAACTAAGTGGGGAGGAAATTTTGGAGGTGATAGAGAAGTTTCTTGCATTGGTTGTTGTGATAGTTAACAGGTATGTTTCTATACACAAACACATCTGGTTGTATTAAATATCTACATCTATTTGTATGTTAACAAAACGTCAATAAAGCAGTTTTCAGAAAAATACCTCACATCATTCCACAAGTTGGAATCTGAGAGTTGGGACAGATGGGCTTGATTTTCTACTATTTTTTTTTCATTTAAGAAGAGATGTAGAAACTTAGAAAGCAAATGATCCTGTGCCTGTGACTGTCCCATCCTTGAGCTCTAAAGGGCAGATGTTACCCTGTCTGCATATTTCATGTAGAAATATGGAAGTGTGTATGGCAGAGTTACTTGTCTGAAGTTATTTCCTGCACAGGAGATCATTTTCCAGGATTTTCTTCACTTATTGGACCAGTCCATGTATGCCTACAGCTCTCATCAATGGCAGTATAATGAACTCTAAAAGAGAAGATTCAAAAAATCAGAAAGACCTGTGTTCCAGTGTGGACTACCCCCTTTGCTATTAAATGACTTAGAGAAAATATATAACCCTTTCATGCTTCGGTTTCCTTGTCTGTACTATGGTCATCAACTCAAATGTTTGTTTTGAGGATCATATAACTAAAATATTATTATAGTAGAGAATGGATAGTTAGCCCTCAATAAATCATGGTTTTAATATAATAGACAAGACACTGGCAACAAAAAAAATGACCTAAATGAAAGATCTCTGTGAGTGAGATCCCAGTGGAAAGAACGGGCCATCAAAGAAGGAGGTACCTTTCTCTGAAGGGAGGAGAGCACTTCCACTTTGACTATGACCTTGTCTAAATAAGATTGGAATTGGCGAACTCAAGAGGCTTTCATAGCCTTGGCAACTCATGACAAGAGCCTCGGGTGATTACTGACACCATAAATAAGAGTGTCAATTGTTAAATCAATGACCGGAGTCACTGTGCACTTACTCCCCATGTAGGATATCTGTCCTTAATGTGTTGCACTATGTGAATTAACGGTATAACTAGTACTCAAACAGTACTTTATACTTTGTGTTTCTGTGTGGGTGCAAACTGTTGAAATCTTTACTTAGTATATACTAAATTGATCTTCTGTATATAAAGATAATTGAAAATGAATCTTGATCTGAATGGGATGGGAGAGGGAGCGGGAGATGGGATGGTTGTGGGTGGGAGGGAGGTTATGGAGGGAAAAAGCCGCTATAATCCAAAAGTTGTACTTTGGAAATTTATATTTATTAAATAAAAGTTAAAAAACCAAAAAATATATAATAGACAGCTACCAAATCCAAGATTTCTCAACCTTATTCTTTCCCCTTAACTCGGGTAGAGCATATGCTTTATATTTCCTTGGCTCACCTCTGGCTTCACTGTAGCTGTGACACATTTTCTTTTTCTTTTTTTTAAAGATTTTATTTATTTATTTGAGAGGTAGAGTTACAGACAGTGAGAGGGAGAGACAGAGAGAAAGGTCTTCCGTTGCTGGTTCACTCCCCAGATGGCCGTAATGGCCAGAGTTGTGCCAATCCGAAGCCAGGTGCCAGGTGCATCCTCCCAGTCTCCCATGTGGGTGCAGGGACCCAAGGACTTGGGCCATCTTCTACTACTTTCCAAGGCCATAACAGAGAGTTAGATCAGAAGAGGAGAACCCAGGACATGAATCGGTTCCCATATGGGATGCCGGAACCACAGGCAGAGGATTAACCTACTGCGCCGTGGCACTGGCCCCCACATTTTCATTCATTCTATTTCCAACCTCAAGTGGATGCCATTTCTTTTTGCTTTTACACTTTGAAGCTTTCTTTAAAGCACACATTGAATGTTGAAAAGAGTTGAAGTCCCAGGATCAGCCTTCAAGCAAAGGTAAGAATTGTTGGACAAATGATGCAACGGGCCACTTCAACAGAATGCCACAAGGCATATGGGTGCCAGTTCAAGTCTCTGCTGCTCCATTTCTGATACAGATCTCTGGTATGGCCTAGGAAAGCAGTAGAAGATGGCCCAAGCCCTCGGGCCCCTGCACTCATGTGGGAAACCCAGAAAAAGCTCCTGGCTCCTGGCTTCTGGCTTCAGACTGGCGCAGCTCCGGCCAGTGTGGCTATCTGGGGAGTGAACCAGCAGATGGAAGACCTCTGTCTCTGCCTCTGCCTCTCTGTAACTCTGCCTTTCAAATAAATATATAAATCTTAAAAAAAGAAGCATTTATTAACTATACTACCTTCACCCAGTTCCTATCCCAGGTTATCCTATGGGGCCACCCAAATCAAGATACCAGGATACCATGAGGCAGGTTATCTGCCTCATGTTTAGGTGGTTCTCATGTTTATAAATTTTGCTAAAATATACCAGCTAAAGACCACCAGGGATACAACTGTAGTAAAAAAATGTTAAATTTATGAACTTGTGGCAACTAAGGAGATCATATCAGGGGAATCATTAAGTGTTTTAAAAATAGAGAGGTAGGAAGTATAAGAGTTTGGGGCCCTGGGGTCAGTTGTAGGATGGTTTTTGGCAGGGATTGCTCATTGGTCTTATCTTTAGAACATGAGTCCAGAGTTACATAAGAACAATCTGTTCTTGGTGTTAAAACACTTGGTCTGAAAAATGGGTTAACTTTTTTTTGAACTTGGACAGTTTGTAATGTCTATCATAGATTAACCTGGCATAGTTTCTGTTTTGTATATTACTGTTTTATGGTTTCTCTTTAAATTCTAAGTTCTCCCTTCATAGATTAGCTTCTCATAGGGATTTATTTTCCCTATTTTCAATTTTTAGGCCTGTGTTAGGTTTTCCAGAGAAACAGAACCACTAGGAGGCAGGGAGGGAGGAAAAGATGGAGCCAGGAGTGAGAAAGACTGATGTACGTTAATGAGTTGACTCACATGATTATGAAGTCTGGTAAGTGCAAAATCAGCAGGGGTGCTGTAGACTAGAGGCCAGGGAAGAGTAGACAAGTGCACTTTAAGCCCAAAGGCCACAACTGTGAGCACAATGCTTTCTTGCCCAGGGGAGTTCAGTCTGTTCCATTATGATCCTCAACATTGGATGAAGCTCCCCTACGTGGAGAGGGCAAACTGCATTACACAAAGTCTACCAATGTCATTGTTAATCTCATCCAGAAAGCAAACTCACAGAACCACCTAAAACTGATCAAATATCTGACCTGGTCAAGCTGACTGAGGATATTAGCCATTACATGGTTGCACAATTTTTTTCTCATCCACATGGTCATGACTTTATGGTTCCAGTCACAAGCTATTAAATTGTTACCTGATAGTCGCAGAAGGATCTATAAAGCATACTCAAGGGAGTTGTTTTCTTTTCCTTGTTTTTGCTTGGGAAGTGAAAACTATTTTAAGGTCATAGAATGAAAAAACAAGCTGAGAATGTGTGTGATTTAGCCTATTGGGTTTGGCTTGAACCCTTATCATCCATTCTATTTGCTCATAATTAGGTTATGTGACCAAAGAGAAATAGTTCATGTCTTTCATGAAGCAACTTGAAGGTTGCAATTATTACCTCAAAATATCATGGGCCTTCACAACCTTAATAGTCCTACTGTTAAAGCATTTTTGCTTTGCTCTAAATATATCCTCTTTGAGCTATTTTAAAAAACCCTTAAAAATATAGTCTTTAAATCCAATCTTATCCATAATACAATAATTTATACATATTCTTGATATGAAATTGGTAATTAAATATATTATTTTGATACTTTTATTGTGATAAAATGTACATAACAAAATTTATTATTTTAAATGTTAAATGTACAATTCAGTGTCACTAAGTATATCCACATTGCTGTTCAGGCATCACCACTATTTATTCCCAGAATGTTTTCATCATCGCCAGTAGAACTGTACCCAATAAACAATAGCTCCCCATAATCCCTTTGCCCTGGTTTCTGGTAACCTGTATTCTATCTTCTGTCTCTATTGATTTTCCACTCTAGATCCCTTATATTAGAGGAATCACATGATATTTACCTTTTTGTGTCTGGTTTACTTTATTTAGCATAATATTTCCAAAGTTCAACTATGTTGTAACACATAATAATTTTATTCTTAGTTACAGCTGAATAATATTCCATTGTATGCATACTACAATTTTTTTTAATCCATCCATTTGCTAAAGTACATTTGGGTTGTGTATACCTTTTGGCTATTGTGCATAATGTGGCTATCATCATTGGCATAAAAGTCTTTGGGTTACTTTTAAAAGTTAAAAGTCTTAGGAAAATGGAGGGGAAGTAAAACAGCAATAGAATTTGAAGAACTTGGGCTTTGGTGGGAGACGGTAAAGAATTTTAGAGAAAGATATACTATTTTTAAATTGTCAATGTAGGTGTAGTCTTGGGCATATGGAAGTAGCCTGGAGGACATGGTATGAGGTAAAGTAGTGGACAGGGAGATATAAGAGGATTTAGTTGTGGGGAGAAACATAGGGTATTCAACCTCATAAACTGAGGGCTTTGCCTTATTTAATTGAAGATGGGGAACAATATTAGAATACTCACTGTTATAGAGCATGGGCACACTTTTATTTCTTTAGAGAAGACATCTATTTCTTCCATTCTATGTCCTTCCTTTAACCCTGGTCTGTCTGCATTGATTAGCTGCATGTATTTGTAGGCCAATTTACTGTCTCTGAGCGAGGAATCATAATGGGATGATAACATATTTGTACGGTAGGAAAGTCCATTACCATTAGAGAGGCCCAGTGTCTGAGATTCCCTCTTCCAAGGAAATACTGCATAATATGCTTCTCCTGGATGGTTTTATCCACTGATGTCTCCTACCCAAACCCTCACACTCCCAATGACTGTGTTCAGATTTCAGTTGCTAATCAGAGCTGCTCAGCAATAGAATGAGAATATCCCACCTGAGTAGAAAATACATTTAGTGTCTTTATGATTGTTCAAACAATACTTGTCAGGACCCCTGCACTGATGGGAAAGAAGACTAGGGAACCTGTCCCATCTGCAAATGTAAACACAACACACATAGCACTTAGCAAAATTTAAAATAAAAATTTATTGTATCTTATGCCCAAGTTGAAACTCAGACAATATCATGTACTGCACATTCAAAATATTTGACAGAGAACACACTTAAAAAAGGAAATATGAAAGAGATAAATAGGCAGAAACATTCTCCCTTAATCTGGAAATAAGTGGGCTGTAAGACCATGAAGGTAGCAAGCAAACATGAAGAACAGTTGGATTTGCTGCCCACAATTAGGGCAGGGTTATCTCTCAGTTCATATACAAGGACATCCATTTCAGCACACAGCAGAGAAAACATAGTGTTTGTATAGCTTGAGGAAATACAATGACAGATGCTGAACAGGAAACAATATAACATGGTAGTTAAGTAACTGTATTCTATTATCAAATTTAATTTCAAATCTTGGCACAGTGCCCACAAGCTGTATCACTTAGTGAGGTCATATTGTTACTCTAAGCTTCCTTGTCACTTGTAATGAAGGGATGAGAACAGTATTTATCCTGCAAAGTTATGAAGATCACAACAAACCAGCACAGCCCTTATTATAGTGCCTGGGACATTGTAAGCACACATGATATGTTCATAAGTATTCAGGGCTTAGATAAATTCTCAGGTAATGCCTAATACACCAACAGTAATGATAGTGGCAAGTCATAGCTTCCATATATTATCAGTTGACCCATTTTAAAAGTCGCATATACCAGCTAAACAATAATTACATAATAAATCAACTCAGAAAATAGGGATAAAAGCAAATCATAAGTTGACTATACTTCCTCTAATGTATATAGTTTTTTCAAGTTAGTTTCAAAATTTATTCTTATTGTCTTTCTCAATATTGTAAGCATGTTTTGTTTTATGGTAGGAACTTCAAGCCGCATAATATTCCATTGATATGGATTAACATAAAATTCCATGAAGTAGACAAGATTATATTTTATTTTACTAATCCAGTCAGAGAAAAGCACTGCCAGTGTAGTAAGGATCAGAGAAACTAGTGTGGTAAGCGTCACCTCTGTCCCACAGACTGAAGGTCCTTGTCACAGCTGATCTTGAACATAGCCATCACTCGTGTTCTGATCTGTTTGGTCTTGGCACCATAGATGATAGGATTGATCACAGGAGGCAGCAGTAAGTAGACATCCCCCATGAGAACATGCACAATGGGATCAAGGCTTTTTCCAAAGCGGTGAACAACCGAGAGACCAATGAGTGGCACATAGAAAGCCAGGACCACACCAATGTGTGACACACAGGTCCCAAAGGCCTTGGCCCGCTCAGACTTGGAAGGCAGTTGTAGAACTGTTCGTATAATGAGAAAATAGGACAAGGAGATGAATGTGACATCCACACCCATGACCAGCAGAATGGCAGTGAGACCATAGACCACATTGGGCAAAGTGTCTGCAGAGGCCAACTTCATCACATCCTGGTGCACACAATAGGAGTGTGAGAGCACATTGGAGTGGCAGAAGGCCAGCCGTTTGATGAGCAGAGGCAGTGGGAAAAAGAAGAGGGATCCACGGACCAGGGCCACCATGCCAATCTGAGCTGTGACTGTATTGTTGAGCACTGCAGCATGACGCAGTGGGTGGCAGATGGCCACATATCGATCAAAGGCCATAGCCAGCAGGATGGTGGATTCAATGGCTGACAGGGCATGAATAAAGAACATCTGGGCAAGGCAGGCGTCAAAGGTAATCTCCCGTGAGTCAAACCAGAAGAGAGCGAGGATCTTGGGCATGGTGGATGTGGACAAGGCCAGGTCAATGGCTGCCAGCATGCAGAGAAAGAGGTACATGGGAGCATGCAGGCTGCGCTCTGTCCTTACGATGAAGACCACGACGCAGTTTCCAAGCAGTGCCACCACATACATTGAAAGCAGTGGAAAGCCGAACCAGAAATGGGCTTCCTCTAGTCCTGGGATACCGATAAGCACAAAGGTGGCATGAGTGAAGTTGCAGGAACTCATAGCTGGCACTGAGGAGAGGGGACTGGAGAAGGTGAGGTCACACTGGCAGCCTGCTAGGATATGGAGCACAATCAGAGAGCATCCTGGCATCTTAGCTTTTCCTCCCTTCCCCTTCCCGACTCCTTCCATGTCCACTTAAGTTCCTTTGTAAGCTTTCAGGCCCTCTTCCAAAGTGGGGAATGTTACAGCTGAAATTCATTTATCAATCACTACTCTCAAGGCCCATTTAAATTTTTAAAAGTGAAACTAAGGAGAGCAGTGCTTATCCTAAAATGTAGCCTTCCCAGATTGCCTCCGACTTCCTCTTGGCCCACATCTTCATTTGCTGGCGCCAGCTTGGACCTTTTCTCAGATAGCTGTAAATAGATAACATACTGGAAACTTCTTCCAGGTAGGTATGGATGTTTCTCTCATTCTATCTCTCTCTCTTATTCATATCCCATGGCTTTTTCTTATGTGACCTACTATGTACAAGCAATTTGCTAGTGCTCTTGACTGCGATATGAAAGACTTTCCCCTTGCCTTCACATGGCTTGCCTAGAAGATAGACAAGTTAGAAGATTGACAAGTTACCAATATAAAAGTATATTGTGAAAAGTGCTAGTATAAGGTGTGCATTTAATGCATCAGAGTGGGAGAGGCATTTTGGGGAGCCTTCCTGGAAAGAATAATCCTTCTGTCAGTCTTGAAACATGAGTAGAAACTAGAATAACAGAAAAAAGAATAAATGGTGTTTGAAGGCAATGAGAATAAGAAATACTGTGCAGACTTTTAGGATGCCAGGTCCTTAGTTCTAGGATCAGAAAGAGGCAGAAATACAACAGCAACTAAAAAAAGACACTAAAAAGGAAATGAAATTAACACAAACCGAGGAAAATGATGAAAATCCAGTATTTCAAGGATTAAAGGAAACTCATCTGAGATCATGAAATCAAAGGTAGCTGCTCCTTCCAATAAATTCTTCAGAGGTGAAGGTGCTGACTGGTATGTGGTGCCCAGCTGATCCTAGATGCCTGGCATGATCCCTGATAAGGATCTTCCCTCTGCCGTGGGCTGGTGGGTACCACCACACTTGAAAACTGCCTACAAGGCCACCCCTATTGCTACAAAGGGTGCTGGGTTGTATCTTAATTTTGGGAGGAATATTACTGATTTTACATTCTAATTCTGAGATCCGTGTCTTTTGAAGAACATATGCCAACAAATCCTTCACAAAAGAGACTATTTTTTTGAGTCCAATGTTGTTTTTCCCCAAGATGCTTCCGTATCCAAAACACCTGGATTCTAATTTTATCAAACTCTTCCTCTGCTATGTTCTCTAAGAGCCCTGTTCTTTGGAGCTAATTGTCTCTAATTATCCAAGGAATTCTCTGTGCGAAGTAGAAGGTATGACTCTTGGAAATAAACCATAGTTGTTGTCATTAGTGGCATTTAGTTACCTTTTACCTTTACCAGGATTCTTTGCTTATAACCTGGGTCCTTTTTACAATTGGAAGATGCCCTTAAATTTGGTCTTAATTGTGAAGGGTTAGAGACCAGTGATTTTAAAATGAGAAAATTGAGCATGAAGAGATTGGATTGGTCTTCCCAACTTGGATAAGCCAGGAAAAACAGATGCAGGGTTCAAAGACTACAAACGTCATGTCTTTGACTTCTTTTCATGCATAGACCTAACAACTATCCTCCTTGATGAACGTCAAATCTAAAATTTGTCCCCTAACTGCTGTTAGAACATTAAAAGCCCTCGTAATAAGCAGATAATGGCATCACTCAGTGAGCTTATATCTGTTTCCACCCATTCATCATAGAGAGCTTCAGGAGGATTCAGACATTGTGCTGAAAAGTATGAGACAGAGAACTAAAATATCCCCTGGAGAAAGACCAGGTCACTAGACCATGGATCTAAGAGATACATAAAGAAAAGGGCAAGCATGAAGAGGCACCCTGGGGAGCATAGTGATGTTTTCCATTCCCACAAGCCCATTCCCCAAGCTGCATTCAATGGTGACAGATACAAGGGTCTCTGTTGGTCCAGAATTGGGTATGTTCTTGTCCCTCTGTCTGCAGACCACTTTTTCTGTTTTGCTGCTATCTGTGCTTCTTTACAGAACTCTAAGACTTTTGGGTCATTCTTTCATTTCCCAAAGTAATTTTCCCAGGAAACCTCATGTCTCCCTCCTATGTTGCCTGGCCTCCTGCCTAAAGTGACTCCTTGCTAGACCCAATTTCAGCCTCTCCTTGGGTCTGAATGTGGCTGCTACATTCATTCTCATCTGGCTATAGCTCTGCGACATTTCTTTCCAGTTGACAGAAGTGAGTGGGACACAAAGGCTTTCCCTAACCCCACATGAGGCAGCTTGTGAGGGGTCTTGGAAAGTCCCTCAGGATGGCATGAGTTTGTGTGCCCAACCTGGGTGATGGTACACTCACCTGAGAATGATGTCCTCTGATCGAGGGAGCTGGAGCTGGCTTTTCCTTTCTGCAGCAGGCCTTTTTTATTAAGCTACTCAGAAGGCCTAGGGGAACAGGCTGCAGTGTTAACTGAGGCCCTGGGGACTCAGCAGAAAAAGGAATGGCGTCTCTATGCCCATTTGTATGCTGCACCCTCAGGCTTCCCACTGTTCCTGTTTAGGTGCTTCCCACCACCTCCACCCCGCCACATGTGGCTCTGGACAGTCTGCCCCCTCTTCCAAACAAGCTCCATCTCCCTAGTAAGCCTTAGGGTCAGTGTGTTTCATTAGCCCTTCTCCTAGACCCAACAGGGAAAGAGATATACAGGCATAGTCTCTGAGCTCTAAGCATTCACAAGATGGGCATCCAAAAATGTAGCCACATAATTCCAAATAAGAGGATGATCTTCATCATGTCTCTTTACAGCTTTTCTTTCAGTTAAAAACACAATCTTTGAGGCAGTGAAGCTACTCTGTATTGCACTTGTGTCACAGATAAATAACAGGTAAGACTCTGCTGTAGTTGCAAAGCTAATTAGTGATAATATTGGCTGGAGAACCAACAATGCTGTCTTTATACATTCACAATTCAACAAATATTTGTCAAGGTCCTACAATGTCATAGAAAAAATAGAAAAAAATCCCTATTCTGAGGGAGTACACATTTTTGTGAGAGGGGAAGACAATAAATAGAATTAACATACAAATCAAATAAGATGTTAAGTAGTCATAAGGAGAAATATATAAAGGGGAGAAGGAAATGGCTAAGTATAGGGTACTGGGGGTGGAAAGGTGAGAAGAAATTTTGGATGAAGGTACCTGGAAAGACCTCCCATCTCTGAGACATTTGAAAAGAGGCCTAAGCGAGTGAGGGGCATATCCATGGTAATACCTGGGGAAAATCATTCCAGGAAGAAAGAACAGACTACAAACAAAATTTCTGAGAAGGAAGTGGATTGGAACAAAAAGGAAACCAGAGTAACCAGAGTATCTGAGAAGAGAGAATAAGGGCGAGAGTAGTAGGGAGGTAGAATTAGGGCAATTCTATGAACTGGGTCATACTGGGTCTTTTTTTTTTTTTTTTTTTTTTTTTTACAGGCAGAGTGGACAGTGAGAGAGAGAGACAGAGAGAAAGGTCTTCCTTTTGCTGTTGGTTCACCCTCCAATGGCCGCCACGGCTGGCGCGCTGTGGCCGGTGCACCGCGCTGATCCGAATGCAGGAGCCAGGTGCTTCTCCTGGTCTCCCATGGGGTGCAGGGCCCAAGCACTTGGGCCATCCTCCACTGCACTCCCTGGCCACAGCAGAGAGCTGGCCTGGAAGAGGGGCAACCGGGACAGAATCTGGCGCCCCGACCGGGACTAGAACCCGGTGTTCCGGCACTGCAAGGCGGAGGATTAGCCTATTGAGCCGCGGCGCCGGCCCCATACTGTGTCTTATAGGGCATTTAAGAACCTTTATCTACGTTCTGAGTGACTGAGGATCTACTGGAGAGCTTTAAACATAGGAGGGATATGATCTGACTCACATACAATGATTTGCCTCTAGCTGCCCACAGACCTGTTTGCGTCTATGTGGAACAAGACCATTCTAGACTTTATGTTTCCCTTTCACAAGTTTTTCATCCTTCAAGACTTAGTTTAAGTAAACCTTCTCCTTGAAGTATACTCAGTATTTCTAGGCCCCCTGATCATTCTCTCCCAGCAACATGTGCTCTGCACCAAATCCATCAGGGTTGTGTTTGTTCATTATTCAGCTCTTTATCCAGCTCTGTCTGTCATCCTAAGTATGTCTCACACATGAGTTTACCTTATCATTTTCACTGTAGTTTCTGAAAATAGGAACATAATTATTCTCTTATCAATCAGCCTCTAAGTGTTTATTAGTCACCTATATCTGGCCATGTAGCTCACAGATTCATTCGTTGTGTAATAAACATATCTCCACTGTCAGTTTTGTGTAGGCACTGTGATGAAATTGGGGATCATACAGCTGAATAAGACCAAGTCCTTTCCTTCAAGGTAATTGTAGACAACTCCACAATCTTGATGTAATATGGAAGAGTGGTGAAAGCCACAGATTATTTAGTCAGAAGGAGGTCCATGAAGAGGGTATTTCAGCAGAAATAAAAGCATGGAGGAAAGAAACAGAATTCTCTACAGGGTGCTATTAGCAGTGTGATGTGGCTGGCACATAAAAGCAACACAGAAAGGAAAGAGAAGTTGGAGAGGTAAATGGATGTGAGTTCACGATAGGCTGTGGATCTGGGGATAGAATAAGCTTTTATCATGGCCACCATAACCAGACATATGTTTTAGATTGCTATTTTAGAGCTGCTTGGAGGATAAAACTGGATACACTTATGAATTTAGTGATACAAGACAGAAATGCATAATATTAGTTTTTGTCTCACCCCTCACATCCAGTTCTTCAGCCAATCTTGTCTATTTTTCCTTCTAAACATTTCCTGATATTTCCTATTTTTTCCATCTTCAACTCCACCACCATGTTCAAGGGGACAGCACAGTGACTGCCACTGCTCTGATTTTCTGAAAAGTCTCAAAGTCGCTGTTAAGCTTGTCCATGTTTGTCATGGCATAAAATCTGCTGTGCAACCCACTCACTTTCGAAATGTCCAAGTTACCCACTTCCCAGTGATGAAGCTTGCAAATTTCCAGGATTGTTTGACAGTGTGGCTGTACATGGATAGTGGGAAAAGTGAAGTGGGAAAAGAATCTGTAGAGGCTGTGCAGACCTCTTGGTTTCTGGTTTTTGACTTTGCAATCCTTTCTTCTTCCCTCCTTCCCCCCTCTGGTGCCTCCTCCTCTTGCTCTTCTCCTTTCTCCTTCTTCTTCCAATTTTTAGGTCTCTGAGTGCCTGCATGCTTCTCATCCAGACCAAATTTCTATTTTACTTTCTCTTCTCCATTTCTCCACACCCCATCTTGAATAATGTATGGATACAAATACACAAACATAGCTAACATTATTTGAACTTTTCTATCTTTTTATCTTGAACCTACCTGTACTACTTTGGGTTTCAGTTTTGGTTCATTGTGAGTAAAGGTATGTTAAATTGAATGATCCATGTAGTTCAGGTTGGGAGGGAACTAAAAGAAAATAAGTACACAATAATATGCTAATAGTACTGACAATGTATTCAAAATATAAATTGCTTCTTCAAAATTACCTCCTAAGGTTTCTGTTTTAACGTGTATTGTTAGTGACTAGATAGGAAAAGTTTTATTATGGGAAGAGAGAGGAAAAAGATAGGAGTTCATGAGATTAGAGTAACATTATAGTAGACCATATAACAGAGTGAAACTTTCACACCAAGGATCAGCACTCCTTGGTACATTATCCTTTAAAATATGGGCCTTTATGAAAATACATTTGTCAACACTAGGAAGAACTTTGTGGTATAGGAGAACTTTGTCTTCTTGTGTGCCATCTGAACACTTAATATGCTTTATGATGCAATTTACTTATTAATTCAACTGAGGTTGAAAGTTACACGACGCCAGAGACTATGGACAGAAATATGGAAATAGCAGTGTGTAAGGCACAGATCCTTGTCTTGAGAAGTGAACTCAGAGTCTATTGTGGGCAGAATGGTTGCAAGAGTCAGAAAAGGGTTGTCATGAGAAATAAGCACACGGTGCTTCAGAAGCACTTAGAAAGAGCACTAGATAGACCGAAGGGTTTAGGGAAAGTCTGGAGAGTCACTTCTACTCTAAGTCAGGGGCAGGGAGACAGTGAAGGTGCTGCAGGCCGATGACAACTTGTGTAAAAACTGGATGGTGAGAGAAGACATTCAAGATTAAGGAAATGCAAACTGTTGTGCCTGGTATGTGGTGAAGCATGAGAAGTAAATAGAGCCAGGTCACGTAGACATTTTCCCTTTTTTTTTTTCTCTACTACATAGAGGACCCCATCAAAGTGGCTGGGAGACAGTGTGATTGAAAGTTTCTTTATCCTCAAGAAACCTTACCTTGTGATCTGAAACCAAAAGAAACAAAAATATAATATCATACATTGATGAGGGAGCAGGGTGAAATCTAGAAATTTAAAACCAAACAGGTAAGGATGAATGTGCATACAAACAAGTATTGAGGGAGGGATGTTGTTGTTGCTACTCTTGTTTTTATAACACTATGGGCTCTGTGCTAAGCAGAGGCCTGCATGAAGGGGCTAAACCATGTGGATCTCTGGAAAAAGAACATTCCAGGTAGGAAGAGTGGAAAGTGTGAAATCTGATGTTGGGACATCCTTGGTGAGTTGAGGAAGTATTTGAAGGCTAGTGTGTGTGCAGTAGAGTGAATCAATGGGAAAGTAGTAGGAGATGAAGCTGGGCTAGGGAAGCAAGATCATACAAATTCTTATAAACCATTACAATGACTGTAATTTTCCCTGGCTAATACAGGAAGACACTGGAGCATATTGAACAGAGAAAGTGATGTTATCTATCTTGTGTAATAAAATAATTGCTGTGTGTGTGGGGAGCAGAGTTCAAGGGGGAAATAAACTGTAAATAAAAGGTAGATGAAGGAAGATCTGCCAGCAGGCTAGTATAGAAGTTCAAATCCATGGTGGCAAATTGAATCATGGTGGTAGCATTAGAGGCATTGTAAAGTTCTTGGATTCTAGATGTAGGCGTTTGTGTTACTTACAAGAAAGAGATATCAGTATTTTCCGAAAGGTTGTTGGTTGTAGAACAGGAGTGATGGAAAGGCACCTGGTATAACTTTAAGTGTTTTGTCTCAGCAACTTGAAAGGTACAGTTTCTGCATAGGGAAGACTGGGGGTAGGGAATATGTTTCTTCCTTGGCAGGAATATTAAAATACAATTTTGGGGGACATGAAGAGTCCAAGATAATTATGAGACATTCAAGGGGAGACACTGATACATAGATGATTGACTGAGACTGGACTATAAATATTGATTTAGAATTTGTCAGCAAATTGATGCTATTTAAACACTTGATGAAATGGATAATCAAAGAAAAAGGATCTAAGAGCAATGCCTTGGGGCATTCTAACACATGGAGATGAAGACTAACAGTAATAGAGATTGGAAATGTTGTCAAACATACCGAGGCTTTCGACATCATCCTTATTATTAAATAGCAGTACTGTAGTCACCTAATAAATCCCCTGTGATATGAATCATGACTTCTAATTCCTTTCTGGACCTGATGCCAGCTATAGAGACCACCTAAACTGAGCGAAATCAAAGTATCATTTAAATGTCTGATTCAAACTTTTGAGAATTAATACCCATTAATTAACTTTCTGGATCAAGCTATTACATGACACTGAAGTTTAAAAAATTATAATTAACTTGTAATTCATATTCATTTTCAGTTTCTACTGAGGCAGAACATTGATGGAGGCCTGAGGAAAAATATGATTAAGAGATCATTAGGTAGAATATATATGTGAGGTTTGAAGGTTTTGATTTGAGATTTTTCTCCCCATCTTGGTTTAAAATTTCTGGAGGATGGTTTTCTAATTAATTAGTTAATTTTACTTCTTTATGTCTCCCAATACAAATTACATGTATGTATGTCTATGTATTTTCAGCAATATAGGATTAAAATTAAGAAGTGAAATCCTGGGATAGTTAGCATGGATGTGCTCTGCCTCTTACTAGCTGTTTGAGCAAGCTACTCAACATTTCATGTCTCAGTTTCTTCATTGGTAGTAGAAGTAACTACTTTATAATATTACTTGTATGTAATATAATATAATATATATTATATATAATATTACATGTATATACACACATGAAAACATTTTGAACAAAGAAAATAATAAATATTAATTTAAATCATTATTATGGTTAAAATTCACTACCTATTTTTCACAAAGGAGTGAATTTTAAAAATATCATTGTAATTGATTTGAGGTGGTTGAGTTAAGAACAGAGAGGCTATCGCAGGCATCATAAGTGAGTAAAGTTTAGAACAAACCAGTGATGATGCGGGCTTTAGGCAGTTCATCCCTCTGCCCCCTCATTTGTTAAATAAAGGGATCAAATGAGTTAATGAGCTAGGTCTATTCCTGCTTTAACATGAAATGATTGAATACATAGCTTCAATGGGTACTTATTTTTTTAAATTTATAACAAGACCTTGAGGAGGCAAATTTAAATGTTCCCTAGTTCTAGAAGTCAACAATCCTATGCTTCTTTGGAGTTGAGAATTTTTATCACAGCTCTGCGTATCTGTTTGGTTTTCACACTGTAGATGATGGGGTTCATTACAGGAGGGATGAGCAGGTAGGTGTTAGCAATCATAGTATGTACATAGGCTGGGGCTTGCTGTCCAAATCTGTGAACAAAGGACAGACTGATCAATGGGATATAAAATATAGCAACAGCCCCAATATGGGAGATACATGTGCTGAAGGCTTTCTTCCTCTCTTCTGGGGATGCAATGCTGAGGATGGTCTTAATGATCAAAACATAAGAAAGGAGAATGAGGACTGAGTCCACACCAACAGTGGAGATCATGGCAGTCAACCCGACAGCACTGTTGATCCTGGTGTCTGTGCAGGAGAGCTTCATTACATCAGGGTGGTAACAGTAGGAGTGGTGAAGCACATGGCTACTGCAGTAGGATAGTCTTTTAAGAAGTGCTACCATTGGTGTCAGCATTAGGGTACCTCTGATAACAATTGCCACTCCAATCTGCACTATTCTGGAGTCAGTTAAAATGGTGGCATATCTAAGGGGATTAGAGATGGCCACAAAACGATCAAAAGCCATAGTCAACAGTACTGAAGATTCCATGACAGTGAAGAGCTTAATAAAGAACATCTGAAATAAGCAGGCATTAAAGGTGATCTCCCTGGCATTGAACCAAAATATACCCAACATTGTGACCAGAGTGGACATGGACAGCCCGAGGTCCGTGGTGGACAGCATGGAGAGGAAATAATACATAGGTTCGTGGAGGCTGGGCTGAGTGATGATTGCGAAGAGAATCAGGCTGTTTCCTGAGAGGGCAGTGACATAGAGGAAGCAGAAGGGAATGGAGATCCAGCTGTGGAAAGCTTCCAGCCCAGGGACCCCCGTCAGCAGGAAAATGATGGAAGAGGTTGTGATATTCTGGAAAGTTGAAATGCTGGATTAAAAATACAGAATAAGATGAAAGTCTGAAACAAAAAGCTATTTTTGTTTGTGAGTTAAGCCAATGACATTAGTTGTATTCTTCAGAAAACTGACCAAAGATGAATATCTATGCAATATATGAAAATACAAGTGGCTCATTTAAACTGATAGAAAAAGTTATGTGATATCAGCTGTTGTAATAGGTTTCTGTTTTCAAAACATTTTTCTCAGCTCTACAGTCTTTTTTCTCTGGAGTCCTTAGCTGCTAGCTTATATTTACACCATGCCACTTTTCCTCCAGCCACAAATGGTCAAAGAATGTACACTTTATCATAGCCCAATCATACTTCATGCTTTCCAGGAATTTTTAAATTGTGATACAGAGGTAGAAAGTTCATTTTTCCGTATCATTGGCAACAGAGAACAATGAATTGGGGATGTGCAGCAACAATATTACATTGGTCATAACTGTGTGCAGTAGAGAAGCTTACAATTTGGTAATTTGGCCAGAAAATAATGAGGAAGAGATAATTATAATACAGAGTAACATGCATAGGGTAACAAATAAATGGCTTAGGTACCAGTGCAGTTATAGGCAAGTGACTTCATCTAACCATTAAAGAAACTCTGACATTGCAGCCCAGGGCATTGCATTTGGGAGACATGGGGAGTTAGAACAGTGATGTACAACAGGCTTAAAGGACTGAGTATGCTGCCCTCCAGCTGGTACAATGTGTTGCCATGTTTAATTATATGTCCTTCAGTGCTTGAAGACTAGTTAGTCAGAACAGATTTTCTTCATTTTGTTAAGATGTATTTCTTTGGAGACATCTAATGGGATTTTATTGCTTTGTTTGGAGAGGAAGATATGACTTGATCCCAACATCATGTTTCTTTTTCTACTGAGTGGGGAATTGAAGACTGGGTAAATGGGTATGTGTGTGGGTAAGGGGGTAGGGGGACTTGGGGAAAAACAAAGATTAGAACTCTATTGGAGAAGGTACAATCAGTGAGAGGTAATCAATTTTAGGGTAATTGTTAATTAGGGGAAAAGAAAGGTATTCAGTAGCTGATTGGAAGTATAGGATAAAAGAGGAAATGGAGAAAAACTCAAACATTTTCAGACTACATACATTCATTAGATAAAGTGTCACTGCTAAGATCACTTAGGGAAATTATAGTTTAAAAAAATGGGAAAATATTTGTTAGTGTAACCTAAATTAAGAGAAAACTAGAGAAAATAAAGGAAATGTTGAGTACATAAATTTACCAAAAAAGTAAACTGTAACTTTAAACTCTGGAATTTAAAGTAATGAGAGTGTCCTCAAGACATTGATGAGTTAATACCAGAAATGTATGATTGGGGCCGGTGCTGTGGCTCAATGGGTTAAGCTGCTGCCTGTGACGCTAGCATCCCATATGACACTGGTTCAAGTCCTGGCAGCTTCATTTCCAACCCAGATCCCTGCTAATGTGCCTCGGAAAGCATCAGAAAACAATCCAAGTGCTTGGGCCCTGCACCCACAAGGGAGAACTGGATGAAGCTACTGGGTTCTGGCTTGGACCTGGCTTACCCTTAACTGTGTGGCCATCTGGGCAGTGAACCAGTGGATGGAAGATCTCTCTCTCTCTCTCTCTCTCTCCCTCTCTCTCTCTATATCTCCCTCTCTCTGTGTAACTTTGCTTTTCAAATAAATAAATCTTTTTTTATACAAAGAAGAAATGTATGATCAGTTCTCATAATGGAAATAAGAACTAATAGTTAATGCTGAAGGAGATGATTTTAAATGTTCTCTCTGAATGAGGTGATGAATACGCTAATAAGCTTGATTTATCATTATAGAATATATATGTATGAAAATACCACATGGTACCTCATAAAAATGATTGGTTAATTAAAATTGAAATAATTTAAAATCAAAGAATGAATTAACAAAAAGTTGGTATTCAGTAAGTTTATAATATTTAGAGAAATCTTTTTAGAAAAAGCAGTGCTTTAGAGATTGCTGTGTTTAAGCTGAGATGAAGAATCCAAGGCTTTCAGAATGGCGTGTGTGAGAGCATTGAGCAAGAATACTGCTGTGGTATTTTTTTCCTTGATCTTGATTTTCAGTGTCAGGGGCACTTACTGAGTACTTTTCTGTTTTTGTAAACATAATGCTGTGTCAGAAGCTAAGGGATAACATGAATAAAATCCTTCTTGAGGAGTTTATAATCAAGTGAGGTAAAAAGATCAGAACTGTTTTTCAACAATTTTAATATCTAGTACACAATGATGACTAATAAGCAAGATTATGGGAGTGCAGGGGCTTTGCAATATGCCAACTAATTTTGGCTACTGTAACTTTTATTTCATGCATGATTATTGAGTTGTAATTTTTGTTGCTGTGTTCTACAATATTTTATGAAATCATTTATCTATTTTAAAATTTTTATTTATTTGAAGATCAGTCTACTTTGGTTTATCATTTGTTTACTTTCAATTAGGATTCTTTCTCTCAGAAATGCCTCCAACAAATGTTACCAATGAGTTTGTAAACAACTAGTCCAGAAGTTGAATTTCAGATTTGTTTTTCTTTTCCTCATCTCACATTTTGATGATGTTGACCACTTCCTCTCTGAATCCTTACCCTTGATTAGTTTCAAGCATAGTTAATCTGTTTGTTTTTTTCTTGTTTACTAATGTTTTTGTTCTCTGCCTTCTAAATTGTAGTGTTCCAGAAGTGTTTACTTTTCTTTCCAGAAGTCCCTCTCCTTTTCTTGCTCTCCATGTGCTCTCCTGGAGATACCGTAGCTATTCCCATGGCTTTAAATAGCACGCATATTCAGATGACTCATAAATCTGCAACCTAATTATAGCATCTCCTGAGTTCTGCATTTCAAAAGTTAGTAACATCTTGAAAGTGGGGCAACGTTTCTGGGCTTGAACTTGAAGATAGTCATGAAACATGGCAAGAGTTAGGTGATCAAATTTCCAGTTTAGGAAATTAACTGGCAGCCATTTGGAGGACAAATCAAAGCTCTCGGCTTTGATTGATAAAAAGTGAAGAAAGTACCTCATCAACCCCGAGGGATGTCTCCACCCATCTTCCCTCGGACACTCCAACTTCAGTTGTGAGTCAAAGACAGCTCACCCCCAACCCCAATCCTCAGTCTAAACCGGGTCCTTCCTGCTATGTTTCATTTATTAGCAAATGGCCTCACATTCTAGTAATCGTCTAATTAGAATTATCGCCTTACCATCAGACTCCTTCTTGCTCTTATTCCCTATGTCTGAGGAGTCCTTAGAAAGTTTGTGAAAATGCGTACTACAAAAAACAAAAACAGAAAACAACAACAAAAACTCCAACCAACTTTATATGGATTTCAAAAAAAACATTTTCCAACAAATAAACTTACCTTTAATTTCCTTTTCCATGAACTTTTTGAAGTACTATAGTACAAACATTATCTTTTTTTAATTCTACTTTTGAAATATCAAAAACTGAAACCTCAGGTAGACTACTTGAGTGGTGTCAGTAAGAGCAATCTGTTGGTAACGGCTGGTGGAACCCATCATTCTCTGACTTGACATTGAAAACACTTCTTACATCAAAGAACCGAGGGGGATGAATGAGTATTTAGGGAGGCACTGAATTTCCTCCTGCTATTCTGCTTGCTGTTTTTCTCGACACTGTCCAATCCATCCTCTCTGATGCACTTATATTTTCATTTTCCCTTATGTGAAATAAGTTACATTCTCTCAATTATGCTGTTCATTTACAGCAAAAAATTCTCCTTTTTGATTTCACTGCTATGAGTTGTAACTTGTGGCTGTCTTTAGCTGCGGAACTAGGTAGATCATATGGCATTGTCAGTGCTTTCCAAACCATTGCCAGTGGCATGATGTAGTGTATGACTGGCATGGCTTCATATCCATGTGCAAACAGTGACTGGTTTTGAGTTCCTAGTACAGCAATAAAACTTTTCTCACAGCAACACATACCATCTATTATGTACTTTTTCTGGGCACATTATTGTGTATAAGGATTCTTTTAATTTTTACTACAACACCATGCGGCAGGTATCTTTAGATTCACTTTAAACTCATTTTTCTGATAAAGAAACTGAGTATTCAAGAGGTTACCAGACATGTTTAGGATCACACACAACTGGAGAATGTCAGAACTCAGATTCTCTTTCCAGTTCTTTTTAACTCCAATGCTCATGAAACAGTTCTTTTCCTGAAACCTGTAAGTAATGTAAACTTTCTTTGATCCAGTTTCCTCATTTGCAAAATAGGATATATATGGTGTCTAATATAGTTCCTAGCATGCAGTAGGTGCTCAAAATTGGTAATTTTTGATTTTAGTAACAAATGAGGCTCACTTATGATGATAAATATGTTAGCACACTGATTAAACCATTTGACTAATAACAGGATATCCAAGCCCCATCAGGCAAAGCAAAATTCCCATTTCTCTACAGATTTCCTGGGAATAATAATTGCATGATTCTGTCATCCTCCTCAGCCCATTATCCCACTAATGTAATTCTGCACATTGTGATGAATTTCTTTCTGTTGGGTAAGAAAGTGCAGCTTATCTAAAGCCAAGCATTTTCATCAAACAAAGCAATTTTACTTACAGAGCCCATACAGCAGTCCTGACTGTCCCTCTCAGACTGACTCAAAAGGCCGAGGAGGCTTTGGATTCCAAGGGAGGGCTGAGCTTATAAGGAGACTAATTCCAGCCAGTTTGTAGACAGGCACAGAGCTGTGAGGAGCTCCTGCAGTGGTGCTAATGCACTGTGTCTCCAGGGTGTAGGCGTTCCCAGAAGACTTCTTTTGCCTGACACAGTCTTTTTATATCTGTTCCATTATGCAAGTACTTTTGTGGCCACATCCTTTATAGGCTGATGTAAGTTTTTGTCCTTGTGCCATTTCATTGAAGAGCTTTTGAAAATAGTTCTATTGAGGTATAATTCACATACTAGAAACTTCACTGATTTACAGTGTATAAGTCCATAATTTTCAGCAAAGTCACAGAGCTGTGCATCAGCTATATCACAAATTAATTTTAGAAAATTTTCATCATCCCAAAAAGAAACTCATAGCCACTGGCAATTGCTCTGAGGGTTTTAGTATAGAAGATGGGTTAATCAATAAATTACATATTGATCAGTGTTAAACTTGTCTTAGAGGCATGAACTAAGGGCTTAATGAATATAGTGGATAAAATCTCATCTACAAATTAGGTGTGCACAAAGTACAGTCTTACTTTTTCATAACTTGACCTATTTTCTATTTTGAAAGTCCAAATGAACAAAAATTAAAAATAATTTGGGATTCTCTTTATTTGGGTTCAAGTTTGAGAACTTTGTATTTTACCAAGAGATTGAGATAGGTGGGTTATGGATCTGTCCAGTGATGTCATCTGATGCATCTGATTGCCCTTATTACTCTGAGTCATATTTGAATATCTGTATTCAGTCCAATGCAACTCTTGTCAATTGCTTTAAATGAATTTAATTACTCAACATCTTGAACAATCCACCTTTATTGAAGTCAGAATTATCTCTCACTTATATACTTGCAGTAGTTTACTAACAATTCTCTCTGCTTCATCTTTATTTCCCCTATGCCACCATGTATATTTTACTACTGAGAATATCTTGACTTGAGATATTTTATTATTTATGATATAACAAAAGCAATAATAAAACAACAATAATATTTGATTGTAAATTCTATGTCCAAAATGTGCTGAGTATTTGTAGTAGACAGAATAAAGACCCATAAAGATATCTACACCCTAATACCTAGAACCCGGGAGTATGTCAAATGGCAAAAGGGATTTTGGAGATGGGGGGTTTGTTGGGTTATCGGGGTGGCCCAGTTAGAGGACATGGGTACCAAAAGCATGACAGTAGAAGAACCTGATCCCTGATCCATTGTTGCTGGCTTTGAGGATGGCAGTAGGGAGCCCCAAGCCTGGGATGCAGGCAGAAGAACAGAGTATACTGAATTTCCTCTACACCTTCTGTAAAGCAGTACAGTCCCTTGAGATCTTGATTTTAGCCCAGTGAGTCCCATGTCAGCTTCTGACCTATACAACATTGAGACAGTACATTTTGAAGAAACACCCATTGTTAATTTGACTCATGCAATTACCAGAGATGAAAGGGTTCAAGTAACTTAACTAGGTCTCTCGGTTAGTATATGATGTAATCAGTATTCAAAGGCTGTCCTATTTGACACTTAGGCAATTTTCAGAGCTCATTTTTTTTAAAGAGGCTTCACATGAACATCTGTCCATCAAACAGTGCTTCCCGCTCAAGTCATATAAACCCAACAGCTTGTGTACATGCTTATGTGCCAGACTGGATGTTACCAGGCTGTCATTGTGTGTGCATATTGTTTGCACATACGTATGCTTTTTCATTGTTGAATCACATCAGAGTGAACTTCTCAAGAAGATAAAATCATCTCTTCCACCAGGTGGAGCAGATTCTAGGGCTGTGACTACTCTACTTGGGAACTGTTTGAGAATGGTCACATCTATTTTTCCTGTGGCTGACAGAGTGTTACTCTTCTCAGAGCAATAGAGTTACTGTAGTGGCATCACTGAAATTCTGTGCCACGGTCTAGTGCATTCTCATGGACCTGGAGTCTGAACTGACCAAATCACTGACACACATTGGTACACAGGGCTTCACAATGTGGCCTTTCTCACTGCCTCACTCTTGCATCAGTCTCACAGAACAGAAGCTGGTCACTTTATTACACTTTCTGAAATTCTAAGTGTAATGTTCCTTAAAAATTATATAGCAACATACTTTACTAGTTGTCAATATTGACACAATTTTATCTGAGAAACACACAATCTGTGATATCACTGGACTTCATATTAATATTTCCCAAACTTGGCAATCCAAACAGGAAGGGAAGAATTAGACCCAAGAAAATTGTGCTGCAGGGACTTACAATAAATCTTATTTATTGACTGTCAGCATTTTACTACAGTGCACAGTAAAACATTCTTCTCTATTAAATCAGCAGGTGTTTTTCAAAACTTCTAATACACAGTGCTGTGTTGCTGTGTTACAGTGGACTAGGCATTATTTTACAATGTTTACACGAGCTTTCTGAAGTGGATCTTCTAGTGTATTATTGTCTTAAAATGTCCATAATATGTCATTTCTAAAAATTTATTGAAAGGGGAATATCATAAATGCAGGTCACATTTTAAGCACAGGAACATTTATTATAGTATTATTTATAGTAGCCAAAATATAGGTAAAAATTCTCAATGATATGGAACATATAAACTATTTATAACTGGTCTTTGATGTTATATAACCTTTAAAATTCATGCATATAGTACTTCATGTGGATAGTCATATTGCATTGAGAAATAGGAAGGCAAGTTCTAGGGCAGAGATCCTTACAAGGCTGAACATAATTTGTTCTGAAATAGGAGCATGAGGCCTGAAGCAAATCAGCTAATCTAGAGTTAATGCATCCAAATTGTAGAAATAAACTTAAAAGCAAGCAAATAATGACAACACCACACCACACCAAAACAAAACAAAAAACCTGGTTGCTGCATCAAAAACTCTTCCAACTAGACCATAATTTCCAAAGAAATATTAAACCCCTACATCACTTATGAGTCCTTGAGATGGTCTGGTGAAAGCCTCTTGCTTCTCTTTCTCTGGCTCCATCCGTGTGGAATTACTAGCAGTTTTCCTACTCTGTTGATTTGGCTATCACAGAGCATTCAGTTTTAAAGTGTTTTACCTCTCCCTATGAACTTCTTCTGGTTTTTCCTTTTATTCCCATTTATCCTACTCTTCTCTGCTCTCACTGTCTTTTTGTATATGCTCCCATCAGGATTCTTCACTTATCATTACAAAACCAAAATTTACCTTTGAGAAAAGAGAGAAATTTCAGAGGTGAGCAAAAGAAAACACATTATGTTCAGGAAATTGAAAATGAGTGTGCTATGGATGAAGCAGACTGAGTGGAGTGACAGTGCTTTTCCAAGTACAGAACTGGAGGGTGGCAAAGCCGTATTCATGAAGATATTGGGTAGCCAATTTGAAAGCAGAGCAAGGTGCTGATCAGATTTGTCTTATACTGTTGTCTCGTTTGGGTTCTCCCGTGGTGGATGGGGGTAGGACGGCGCACCGAGACACTAGGAGCCAGGTGAAAGTGGGCTAGAGGAGAGCAGCCCACAGACTCATTTATTTTAGGAAGTACATGTGCTTATATAGCTAAGGCAGCCAATCCGGTCAGAGGGAGGGCCATGCTGTAACCAATCACTGCCTGTTGCTAAGCAGACTCCTTTGCCAGGTGGATCCCGGCGCCATTCTCTGTGCAGCTGCGTGGCTCCTTGGCCAGTACCATCTTGGCGCAGCCTATTCATTCCACCACATTTCCCCCTTTTCATTTATTTTTGAGCAACGGGAGGTATGATTCATGGCCATACCATTGTTGACCCCGTTTCTGTGTGGTCTCTTCATGCGGCTGTGCCTATCTTAGGTTGTCCTCCTGGGGATCTTACCCATCATTAACTAACCGGACTGCTAAGAAGAAGCCCACAGGTGTTCTTGCTCAACTGGGGGTGGGAATGAGGGAGGATGGTAATCAGGAGCGGTAGGCTGTAGGCTATTCTAGCGGCTGACCGGAGTTGGGGAGGTGTAAAACTGTATCGGATGTGGCTATGAGCAGTTACTCAGGGCAAGATGTTAGGTCTGCAGTTTGACAATCAGTAGCAGGTGGAGACCTGACAAGGGACTGGAAAAGAAGGCCTAATTGCCGGGTGAACCGAAAGTAAAAGAAGAAGGGCCTGGAGGTGGCGTTACACCTCTAGGCAATGTGTGCCTAACACTGGGTCACCGTGACAAGGACAAGGACAAGGAAAGGGGAGCAGGAGGGGTTCTGTGCTCACCCTCACAGAATCCTCAACACACAAAACACCGAGGGGCCACTTACCAGATCCTCAGGGGGACACTCGCTGAGTCTAAAATCCACTCATGGGCGAATCCACATTAGGGGCCAGATGTTGTCTTGTTCATTCGCCAGCGCCATCTTGGCACAGCCTGCTCATTCCACCACATTATAACAATTACCTTATCTAATCTGAACCGTGAACTTTCATTTCAATGTCTGGAACATAGTATCTCATACATACTAGGTACTAAATGATAAATTTCTTGATTTGCCAAATCAATGAAAAATAATAATATTCATGCAAATAATAACAATAAGTAATAATAATGATAAATAACTGAGTGCAGAGTATATTTGTGGTAAGGCTTTTCTGTGGATTAATATTTGGTATTCTCATTTATTTTTACAAAATAAACTTATAAAGTAGATACAACTATTTTCCCCTATTAAAATAAAAGAGCAGTAGCTTGGTAGTTATTAATTAGCCTGAGGTCTTAGAACAGATGACAGAATTGTGTTTTGAATCAAGACTGTCTGGTTCCAAATATTTTGAGTTGAATTAAAGTTGTGTTGGCTCTTGATGGATAAGCAGATCCAGGGAAGGCATTCAAAATATTTATGTTCTAGGACTGGTAAACTAATCAAAATTGATTATTGTACTCTGCTTATCAACTGATTATCGGACTTTATTTGATGAATGGCTTAAATCTCTGGGGTTTGCACTAAAAAGAGCCTGGGTTTCTGCTGACTGTGTTGCATCTTGCAGCTATATTCATGGACCAGTTCCCTTCAGATGGGAATCTTTGGCATGGATGCAAGATTTTCACATTTATA